TTTGCCGGCAAAAACTCCAACCCTGATACTTAACTATAAATAGTCTTGCATTATTGTACTTCCATAACAAGAATGTAATGTTTATTCAAAGCTAAAAATTTTTTGCCAAGTTTCTTCCATTTTGTATTTACATTTAAATAAATTTGGCTATGTGTGAATAAATAAACCATTATATTTATAAATTTGCTTTGAAAGATGGAGATGGTTGCTTGCTCATTCTTTCTACCCAGTGATGGGGATATTTCCGTGTCCTGATCTGTCATGCCAACTATAATCGCCAAGGCGCCAAATAGATTTTAAACTTGCAAATTTTAAAAAAAAACAAAACATCTAGATGTTTGCCCCGGGGGTGGACGAGTTTCGAGTTGGTCCCTTTCTGTGATGTTATTTTTTAGTTTCTTGTGGACCACTGACCGGGAGTTTTTAAGACTTGGTGATAATTCTGCCACAGATCGCGATATGGAAATCTCCCCGCAGTAAAATTTTTTAATAGTCTTATCCAGGTTTAGACTTAAAAAGGTTGTACCGACTTTTTACTGTATATCTAACTTAAGGGATTAAATGTTGATTTACATTTTTTCCCCCAGGCTTTCTTGATAGCCACTATTTAAATTTTGTCCCTAATTTATTTATTTTAATTATTGTATATGCATTAAAACACTCCTTTGAAAGTCAATTGTTAACAAGGTACTCTCATGCTGAATACTCAATTTCATGACTGACTGCATAATGTCAGCAATCTAGTCAGTGTTATATCAAGCTTTTTTTTTTGTAAGTTGTTATTGATCAATCTGAAACTTAGTGTGCTTTAAGTGATCTCTAGAAATAACCCTGTTTCTTTATAATAACAGCTCAGAGTCTTTATAACTTCACTGTTGCAGCTCATATCTATGCATAAATGTATTTAAGAATCTATATACTTTGCATCTTTCATTTGAGATTCACTCTGGGAATCTCTTTCATAAATTTTATAGAATTCATTTGGAGAGTAAATTTATTTTATAATTCATTATGACTTATATCTTTTTTTTTTGTGTGTGTGTGGGTCTAAGGCATTTATGTTTTTCTTTAAATGCTTCACATTATGTAAAAAGATGAGATTTATCAGTCGCATTTGTCTGGAGATAAACTTTTAATTTGTTTTATGATCATTTTAATTCACAAGAAGTTAATGGCATGTTCTAAATCATGAAGTTTGATTCATTTATTATATTAGTAATTAGGAATCTTGAAATGCAATTTAGATATAGGGTGAAGCTTGATGCATAGTTGAAAAATTATGATAAGTCACAAATTTAATTAACAGAAAATGGTATGTATGGTTTATAAATTGCGTCAATAGGAATGGTGATGTATAACTTATTAATTTTGTCTTTAACAGGGTGCATAGCATTTTTAAATAGCCCTTAAAGGTGCTTTTTTTATTCAGGGTTTGTAAAAAGTGCTTAATTTTCTGTCTTTTAAAAAGTGCTTTTTTTTGCTGCGTCGGTTGTCTTTCTAAATTTAAAAAAATCCATTATTTTCATAATTTTCTCTGCAATATTTATCAAAAATTTGTTATTTTATTAGGTTTATGTAAAGTTTTTGAAAATGTTTTTGAATTTCATTGATTTTATGCTTATAACTTAAGAACTTTAAACGATAGAAAAGTAAAATACTTTTCATTACTGCACAGATCCTAATTATGATTTTTTTTTTTTTTTGGAATGTGATTTAAAATATTTTTTGAGTGCTTATAAGGTGCTTATTTTTTGTTAAAAAATCTGGCTATACACCTTGTTTAAATTGAATTAAAGTGTTTTGATTTTCAAAACAGGTTTGAAAACTCAACAAAAATGAAATTTTTTAAATTAGTTTTCTCCTAAACTTAAATGTTTTATTTCTTTTATAGGTTTCTTTATTTTTGAAATCTTTGGAGCTTGACAATGTTGTGTGCAACTACAATATATTTTTTAGCATTTTACTCACTGGCATTTTTAATAAGTTTTGGACAATCAGCTGAGCCACCAATTGTGCCTTTTCCTCCCACAATCATTAAACAGCCTCCTCATGAGCAGTTATATCAAGTGGCACAAACAGCAGATGAGAAAGACAACCCCTTCATGCTGGAATGTGAAGCTCAAGGAAACCCTGAGCCAGAGTATATCCTATTTTTATGTTCTATATTCATTTGAATTTATTTGTCATTAAATAGAGCATTTATTAATTATGATAAATGATGATTCTAGATGTGTTTCAATATTGTTTAAAAACATGCTATGATCATCTGTTACTATAGATATTAAATATATTCTTTTAAATCTTTAAATAAAGTAGTTTTTTAATGAAATAAAAATATTTTATTAAAAAAAACAGGTTTCTTCTGCTGCTTTAAAAAATAAATAATGACGTACATATGTTTCCTAACTCCACAGAGGGTTTCCTACACATTATCTGGACTGCATACAGGGGTCTGTCCAGGCCAAATTTACTTTCACCAGTACTTTCACAAATTCAACTTTAGGAAAAATAGTAGTTTCAAGAAATACTTTTTCTTAAAATTTTATTTTTGTATCCTGTAAGTAACGATAAATCCATTTTTTTACCATATTTTTGTGTTGATTTTTTCATATAATTTTTAATTTTCACAAATTATCTCTAAATTTTCACAAAATCGGTACCTTTCAGAAAAACCTAGACAGACCCCTGGCATAGCCCTCCCTGGGTCATCCTAGTAATCTTTCCTCCCTTTTTAAAATTTTTTTTTTAATATCTGGCATAGTTTAACTCTGATACTTTTTGTTGCCCTCAGATTAAGTATTAGCCTCTAAAGTTGGTGCAATCTAGCCAAGTCTGGTACTTGCAGCATTAAAATTTGCATTTCATTTATTCTAAATTCATTAAAATGTCTTTTTTAATTATTTAATTTCTTTCACTTGATTCTTTATAACTAACTTCTACAGTAGATTAATTTCAATATCATAACGCAAAAGTTCCTTGTTATATTGTTTTTGTTGAAGACAAGAAAGAGTAAGTTACGTTAGAATGTACATTATTAAAAGAAATAATTGTAAGAAATATTATAATCTTGTGTTAGCTTTTCAATTGCATTATTTTATTATCTTAGTGTATAGTGTGTCATAATATCATTGATTTTAGGAGAGTTCTTGCCTCTTAAGTTGAATCAGTAAAAATTGCTAATCTTATTTTTTCTTAAAACTGAAATTCTCATGTTTTTCTAAAATCAAATTTTATGTGAAGAAGCAAAAAAGAAACAATTCATGTGATACATACAAATGTTCCACATACTTTGCAAGGTTACTGTATTGAATTAGGATAAATGAAACAACTCATATAGGCTCAAATGTAATAGGTGCAGGAAACCTTGCCCTTTATGTAGGTTTCATTTTTTAAATTTATTTATTATTAAATTAAGCTATAATAGTGAATTTCTTTTTATCATTCAATACCTGTGTTATAATTATATTATAGTTAATACATTTATTAATTATATTCAATTAAGTTTTTTTGAAAATTATATTCCTGTGAAGATGTAAATCTGAATTAACAGTTAAAATTAATAGTTAAAGAATATTGATAATTATAAAATATTATACTTTTGTGTTCGAGGGAAAAATGAAAAATTTAAATGCAATATTATTATTTTTCAAAACAAATTTTGCTTTAAGAAAGTTTCTATAATTTCAGGTATCGTTGGATGAAAAATGGTCTTGATTTTGAGTATGTTGCATATGATAAGCGTATAAGTCAACAGCCCAGAAGAGGAACTTTAGTATTCACAAAGCCAGAAGATATTGATGAAGGCTTATATCAATGCTATGCTTCAAATCGCTTTGGTACTTCTGTATCAAATTCAGTCTTTTTAAGAAAAGCAGGTTTGTTTCTCCAATTAGTTTAACAGATATTGAAAATTTCTTCTAAATTTCAGTTTTATTTAAAAAGAGTTTTAAAAAAATGTCTTGCTGTAAATTTTAAATATATCTTTTCATTAATATGTTCATTGATATTATACATTAACCAGTGTTCTCCTAAGCGTATTTAGAAGGGCCGCTTGCACTATCTGCTCTTTCATCCCTATAAATGTGTCCTCATTGCCCTTTTTGTAAAAATAAGCCTTAAAAACACTGCCTTTTCACTCATATTCCAACCAAAATAAATATATAACTCACTGTTTAAATTATAATTACATACTGATAAAATCATTTGTGTTTATGGGTTTATTTCTGATTACTGTTACAAATATTTATTTTGTTAGGATTACTCTCCGCTTGGATTAATTTTTATAAGTTTCTCTTTTTTGTCAGGAGGTATATTAATAAATTTTTGAAGTGCTTTTATATTCTTAAACTAAATTTAAATAAATAATTTTTTTTTTTTAAAAATTCACCCTTAAATGTTTATTCTGTTTCATAATTTTCAGTGTAAATTATAGAAAAAAGCTTTAAAAAAATGATTATGTTAGATAAAAAAGAAAAAAAAGATTAGATTTATCAACTAAACATGTTTTTTTTTTTTTTTTTAAATTATGCTCAGAGGTTGTCTTTGGGCATGCCTTTAATTTTTATAAGCTATGAATTTTTCTCTTGTTTTGATAATGTGTGAAAACTACTTTGTGAAATATATACATAATATAAGATTGTTGATGGTAATTTAAACATTGTTGAGGATCAAATTCAGTTATTACATAATATTATGCAATTTAATAAATTTTTACTGTGTTGAATGAGTGCTCTTTCAAAACTCAAAGTACCTTTTTCTGTGAGGAGGAAGCACTCAGCCTTTTTTAATTCCTAGGGAGAACTCAGCATAAACATTATGTTTCTCAACTTCTCCAAACTTTTTTTTTTAAAGTCAAGACATTTGTAATATTTTCTTCTTTTTACGAAGGAAACATTATAAGTGGTATTCAAATTCAGTGATATAATAATGTGTTTTAAACTATACATGTGATAAGATATATTGAAACATAAAACCCAATTTTTGCAAATGTTGACAGTTAGTTTGAATAGTCTTTCCTCAAGTTTTATTAAAAGAGTTTTTCAGTTTCTGTAATGGTTTTAAAATCGGAATGTGTTTTTCAGCAAATTAGTCAGCACATGCATTTATTGCAACTGAAATTTTCTTTTTTTATTCATTTACAGGAGAATATTTAGAATTAATTTTATAATAAGTGGCATCAGTTGCAGTTTAACTTGGCAGAAAGCCAAAGTTAATCATTAAGTGAATCAAAAGGTGATAACTCCTAGTGGAATTGATGTGTTATATGATTCTCTTAAAACTATTGGACTTTAAACTACTGTGTAAAAATGGTAAAAAAAAAACAATAAATAAGTCTTGACACATTGATGAATTCTTTAGCACAGCAGATATATTCCTAAAAACAAAACCCCTCACTCAAGACAGCTGGAAAAGATTTCTTTCCACCTCTGTTTAAGCAGGTTGGTTATGTGGCATTGGCAATGTACGGAAAATGGCAAAGTGTGCCAGGCAAAAGCTGAAAAACACAGCTCTCAATCAAGAGACTAAATCCTGTATTTGTAAAAGACGTGCAAAAACAGATATATGACTATGTGACATAAAGCATCGGGATAGAGAATTGAGCCTTAAGTAACATCAACTGTCAACGTAGTGGAAGAGTGCACTGAGTTATAACTGAAGAACACCACACTCCATCAGGAGTGAAAACCAAGCATTTTTGCAAGTAAAGCATGCTAGCTGAAATACGATTGTGTAATGTTATTGGCGGAAAAGGATTATGCAAAGAATTAGTTATCTATGAAATTTTGATTAGTTATCTATGATATTGTTAGCCAAAGCTTTCACTAAACCACAATTTGTTGTTTCTAAATTTGATTTTATCCTATTTGGCAAGGTGGCAATTGTTTAGTGTGAGCCCTGAATTTTTATATTTACTCATGCCGTTTTCACTATTTTATGTGTTTTTTTTGTTTTGTGTGTATGTTTGCCATATCTACTGGTTATCACTAAAGCTTATCTAACAGAGAAGTATTTTTATTGGCCTCCAGAAATTTTTCAAAGTCAGTGGATTAGAAGCTTTAGCTTCCGAAAATTTTCTAGAAATTCTCTTATATTTGGAAATATACAGTTCCTATTCTGAATTTATATCAATCAAAACTAGCTAAGCAATATCAAAACACAATAGCGTTTTAAAACACTAATTATAAAACTATGAGTATCTAACTACATTTTATGATGATAACTCACATTCTAACAGGTGTACTACTAAAGTGTAAACATTAATTATTAAAAATGAAATGAAGCTTTCAATTCTCGGGCTGATACAAATTTTGCATGATTAGAGTGACCCTATTTTTCAGAACCTTTATTGTGGTTTTTAAAAATTACTATAACACTATTTTTTTTTCTGGAAATTAGTTGGTTTGTAATATTCATTATTGCTTTGTTTACCAACTTTTAGGCACCAAATTCGCAATTCTTGTCACATAATTTGAAAAAATAAATTATTCTCTAGATGTTAAGACATAAATTTTTAACTTTTTCTTTTAAACCTTTGATATCCTATACCTTCTATTTATCTTTCCCCTTCCCCCCTGATTAGAACGTTTTAATTTTTCATTCATTGGTTTTTCTTTTTTAATATTTCATATTTTAAAATTTTTGCTTCTCAGGGTGATAATTCATTAAAAGTTCATTATTATTTTTTTAAAATCAAAATTGACATTTTTTATTATTTTTCTAACAATTTCTTTAATTTTTTTTTAAAAATACCTACCTCTTTAACAGATATTTGTCCAGTTTATACTTACTGTTTTTCTTACAAATAAATATTTTTTTTAAAATAAAGGTTTTAAGAAACATTTTTAACGTGTTATATAGAGTAAGATTATTAGATACACAGAAATGAAAGTATCAAAAACAAATTTATTATAATGAATTTTTTTTTTTGCTAGTTATATTGTTTCCTTTTTTTTTTATACGATTATTATTAATGTTTGGTGAAAACTATGTTTCAGAATTGAATTCGTTTCTTGATGTGGAAGCTAAGGAAAAAGTTGTAAATGAAGGAGATCCTTTATCATTAAACTGTAACCCTCCTACAGGATATCCTCGTCCAACCATTTTTTGGATGATTCAATCATTCACTGGATCATTAAGAACTATAAATAGGTAACTGTTAATATATTTGAAGTTTATTATATTTTAACTTAAGGTGAAATAGTCTGCTCTTTTATAATACCTAATAAAGTATTTAAAAAAATATATGAAGTTTTGGTTCATTATAAAGCTTTGGTTCATTTAATGGCCACTCTCGCTGAAAAATGAGAAAACCTTGAATTCTGAGACAATTTCGAAATACCACTAGAAAATTTAGAATTCTCTGCAAAATTCTTAATTTACTCTGGAAATTCTTAAAGTATGAGCAAAAGGCAATGATCACTCAAAAATTCACAGCAAAGTTGTTTAAATATATTATTATGCTTTAAAACTGTTAAATGATTTGTAAAAACCTTTACAGGCATTATAATTTATTTTCTTGTCATCGCTGCTATTATTATAAATTAGTTTGCTCTATTTAATAAACAATTCATTATAATAATTTCTTTACTTTGACTTTCTTTTAATCCTATTTAGATCCTATTCTATTTTAATCCTATTCTATTTAAATTATGCTTCATGAATTATAAAAATGCTAAGCATTTTATTTTTGGAATCAAATTTATAATTTCTACTAAATACATGGTATATAAATTCCTTATAAATATAAATATTTAATTATTAAGCTATTTTTTTACTTTATCATATTTTAAGATATACATCCACTATGTATGTATCTCTACTACTTACATCTCTCAATAGTAAACGATGTATGATTGAAATAGTGTTTATAACTTTTTGTTAGCCTAGTTTCAAAAAATAGCTGTCATTGCTGATAAAATTTAAAGTATTTGAAAATATGTCATAAAGAAAAAAAGAATTCTCTCTTGAACACGAAAGAAATGGTATAAAATTTTTGAATGATTTAATAACCAGGCAATCAGTATTATACATTACATTTTTTGTATTTCTTCAAACAGATATTTATTTTTATTCAAAATAAGTTGATTATGCCATTCATTAAAACTGACAGAAATGTTTTTTTCTACTTATAGCTCTAGAATCACTGTTGATCCTGAAGGAGATTTACATTTTTCAAATGTAACTTTGGAAGATGATTTAGATGAAGCAATGTATGCATGCAGTGCTACATCTAAATCCCGTAATGAATATAAATTCGGAAATAAAATTATTTTGAAAGTTGAACCATCTGGAGGTAAATTATCATTTGTTTTCATTGATTTCTAATGAATGTATGCTAATTTTAAAAATACAGTAGAGAACCAATTATCCGGGATGCTCGGGACCATCGCTATCCCGGATATCTGAATTTCCCGGTTTTCTGGATCGACCAAAAAGTGTCGTTAATCGATGTTTTATCGAACCCGAAGTACAAGGAAAAAGTGTAATGCATAAAGTAAGAGAAAAAAGAAAGGTACTCCTAACTTTAAAAAGAAAAAAAAAA